GCTAAGGTAGTATATCACATGCTCTTTTCGACCGGACTTGTCATGCTGCCCTAGCATACACCCCATTGAATTATCTAACACTGTTAGGTACATTATCAAAGGTCTTCCTTCAACCGAAGGCATCAGAATTGGAGGCTCTTAAAGGTATTCTTTGATTTTCTTGAAGGTAGTCTGGCATTCGTCATTCCATTTTACCACTTGATATTTCTTTAGGAGTTTGAAGATTGGCTCACAAGTAGTAGTTAAATGGGAAATGAATCTGGAAATGTAATTTAGACGTCCAAAGAAGCCTCTAACCTCCTTCTCAGTGCGAGGAGCCATCATCTCTTGTATAGCTTTTACCTTTGCAGGGTCTACCTGAATACCCTTGTCTCTAACAATGAAACCTAATAGTTTACCAGACCTTACCCCGAAGGTGCACTTGTTCGGATTTAACTTTAGCTTGTACGTCTTTAACCTATCAAACAACTTTTGTAGATGATCAAGGTGCTCTTCCTCAGATTGAGACCTGACTATCATGTCATCAACATAGACCTCTATCTCATGGTGAATCATGTCATGAAACAAAGCTATCATAGCTCGCTGATAGGTTGCCCCAGTGTTCTTTAATCCAAACGGCATCACTTTGTAACAAAAAGTGCCCTATTGTGTGACGAAGGTTATCTTCTCCATGTCTTCGGGTGCCATCTTGATCTGATTATAATCAGAGAAACCGTCCATGAAGGAAAAGATCTTGTGTTGCACGATGTTATCAACCAGAACCTCAATGTGGGGAAGCAGAAAGTCATCCTTGGGGATTTCCCTATTCAAATATTTGTAGTCCACACACATCCGCACCTTGCCGTCTTTATTAGGAACTGGGACTACATTAGCAACCCATTAGGGATAAGAGGTGACAGCTAGAAACCCAGCGTCGAATTGTTTCGTAACTTCTTCTTTAATCTTCTCTGACATTTCAGGGAACATACGACAGACCTTCTGCTTTATCAGAGGGCAATCTTTTTTAGTTGGAAGACGGTGAACCACAATATCCATGTCCAATCCTAGCATGTCTTCATATGACCAGGCAAAGATCTCGACATAATCATGCAACATTTGTATCAACCGCTGTTTGACATTAAACTCCAGATTTGCACCTATCTTGACTTATTTTCTGTCCTCTTATGTGCCCAAATTTATTGTCTCAACTGGCTCTTCACGAGGCTGTATTTCCATTTCTTCTTGCTGTAACAATCTTGCAAGTTCTTCGGGTACCTCACAATCTTCCTCACCTTCGTCCTCGGCTTGGTTGATCAGATTTTCAAAGTCATAACCTGCAATAGCAGAACCATTATCAATGGGATCCAGAGTGGATATGGATCTGCAGTTGATACGTGAGTGTGTGTAAGAGCATATCTGTATAGACAAAGTAAAAGCAAAAAAGAAAAACAGAGAGCGCAAAATTTGTATGCATAAACGTCCAATGCTTTATTGATGCCATATGAAATTAAAACATGATAACCCTAAAAAATAAACCATTGTGCCTTGGGTAAGACACATGGCCATAAAGTTCAATGTTTATTACATATCCAAAAACAAGAAAGACAATCACTTCTGAATAAAAGTAATTGGTACAAAGTCCTTTGTCATATAGTTACTGGGTCCACCGCTGGTAGTACGGAAGATCCATCTATCCACGTCATACTCATTGTCAGCATCTTCTGTGGAAGAGACAACATCAATAACATTGATTCCTGAGTCGTGCTTGGGCATGGGTGCAGTTATGACGTTGGGAATCTCAGGGGGATCGAATTCAATCTCCTTTGCCTCAATCAAATCCTGCACCTTATTCTTCAAATACCAACATTCATTCGTGTCATGCGCCGGAGTCTCACAATGGTAGGCGTATCGCACATTTGGATTGTAGCGGGGAGAGGCAGTATTAGGATTCTTTGGAGCTTCCTTCAAAGTTACCAGATTGGATTTCAATAATTGCGGCAAAACCTGAGATAGAGTCATATTTATCCGGGTGAATTGCCTTACAGGCCTTTCTTCTCTTGGCTGATTATTCCTTTATTAAGTAGATGCAGGTTTAGAGATCACAACAGCCCCTACCGTTGGACGGTGTTCAGTTCTGTCCTGATTCCTTTGACTATAGGTAGCACTGACTTCCTTTTTCCCAGAAAATGGCTTCCTTACTGTACTGGAGGATGTATCCTTGTCAATCTTACCACTCCTAATTCCAGCTTCCACTCTCTCTCCCGTCAAGATCAATTCAATAAAGCCAACTGAGGAACTCCCAATCAGATGATTGAAAAATGGACCAGACAGGGCACCCAAAAACATATCCACTAGCTCCCTATCAGACAGGGGAGGTTGGAATCTTCCTGCTAAGTCCCCCCTCTTCTGAGCATAGTATTTAAAGCCTTCGCTCGAACCCATAACCATACTTTGGAGTTGTGCACGGGTGGGAGCAAGGTCTGTGTTGTACTGATACTGCTTGTAGAAAGCAGCGGCCAAGTCTTCTCAATTATGAATGTTAGCCCTTTCTAGCTGGTATAACCATTCTAGTTGAGTTCCGGGAAGACTATCCTGAAAGAAGTGGACCCATAAGTCCTTGTCATTAGTGTGAGGCTAAATCTTCCTCACATAAGATCAGAGGTGCATCTTGGGACATGAAACCCCATCATATTTGGCGAACACCGGCACCTTGAACTTTTGCGGGATGAAGACCCCAGAAACCAAATCCATCTCTCTGAAATCCAGACCTGGTAACTTCCGGACCTCCATTGAATTCAAATGATCCTCCAGCTGTTTGTATTTTTCATTAGCAGGAGGATACTACTCCTCATCATAGTCAGATTCATCATCGAATTCTTTTGAACTTGAGTCTTCCTCTCTTGTTTCCTCCTCTTGATTGTTTCCTTCTTTTGATGAAGTTACCAATTCAGAGGCTCGCCACACTGGTCCTCTGATCCTTCTTCCCAAGTTCACCACACCAGCTGGTTTCCTTGACTTCTTAGTCTTCTCTTTAATAATCAAGGCTTTTAGTTCCTCTTGCCCCTTGGCCAGAGCCATGATTATCTGTTGAAACTGAGCATTCTGAGTCTGAAGGTCCTTCACTGTTTTTTTGAGATCCATTGCTTTACTGCTTAAATAAACAACGGAGAGGATGAGAAACCTGCTTTGAAATCTACTTATGCAATGATATGTATGATATATGTATGAAAGGTTTTCAAGGATTTCTAAGACTTAAGTTTGCTTAAATAGAAAGAGAACAAATGTTAATTGCATTAAGAAGTTTTATCGATCACAATGATGACTCTTGGGCTTATAAGGGAAATGAAAAAGCCAAAATATAAACTCTCCAAGCAAAGAAAGACTCAAGCTTCACACAGGCGCATCCTCTTTGGTGCAATGTAAGCATTTATGCTCTTCTCTTCGTGAAGTAACCTAGTGAGCTCTAAAACCTTCTTCTCGTTGGCGTAGAATTGGGTTTGGAAGGTATCCTGTTCTTCTTTGAGTTGGATCCAGGATTTCCGTAGCTCCTCAAAATCAGTTGGCATATCAAGATGAAGAATAACGTAAGGAGTGTCTCCTTCAGCAATTGGCTCCACAATCACAGGTAAGATGGCAGGGTAAGGCATCATAAGACATTGAGCATAAGCTCGCACCCATTTGAGATAAGGCTCAATAGGGATGGAATTCTTGTGCATCAGTGTCTTGATGTCTACTCTGTTTATCATGACCCAAGCTCGAATGAACCTCTTACGATAACCCTGGACATCATTCTCATAGTCAAATGTGATTCCCTGGATGAGTGTGTCTTAAGGACCATCCCTTCTAGCATAACCAAATTTTCGCAACGCGAAACAAGGATTATAAGTGATTCCTCCCCTAATTCCTAAAAGAGGGACATTCACTACAAGAAAATTGGCAGATTGCGACATGTATTTTTGTAGATTACGACGGTTAAAACCGTCGCAATTTGCTTTCCACGACGGTTGCTTTACCGTCGCAGAAGTGTGTGTCCCCAACCTATTTTGCGACGGTTACAAAAACTGTCATTCAAGTTTACGACGGGTTTGGAGCTGACATAATCAAGTATTGGTGATTGTTTGATACCGTCGTGACTATCTTTTGAGTTTCTTTTAATTATTGATGGCGACGGTTCGATACTGTCGTGAATATCTTTTGAAATTGATTAAATTGTTTATGGCGACGGTTCGATACCTTCATGACTTTTGTTGATTATTTTTAATTGTTGATTACGACGGTTCGGTACTGTCGCCATGACTTTTGTTTATGTCTTGATTTTTTTTTATTTTTCTATTATATATATTTTTTATTTAAATTATTATCTATGTAAAAAATTTTAAATATAGTTTTTTTTTGTGTTATTTTTTTCTTTAAATTATTTCTTCTTTAATATATTTATTTATAGTATTATTTTTTATTTTATTTTCTATCACTTTGTAATATAGTAAAAATAATTTCAATAAAAAATATTTAACATCAAATAAGCATTATAATATCCAAAAAAATGTGTGTTCCATAATCATGTAAATTGCGAGTTCCATAATCATGTCAAGTAGTACAAAAAACCCAAAATATATCAATTTCTAATCTTATAATAATAAGTATCATTATGCCAAAAATACATGAGAAAGTTCACAATCTAATTATCTCGATCATAGCAAACTCTAATTTGTCCCCCCTGAAGTTCCATTATCTCCAATACGGTAGCTAGACTCAGATGAACGTCTACCATCAGCGGGTGATTCCAATCCCTAAAAAAAGGTATTAAAATAATAATCTTTAAAATAATACTCATAAAATTTAACTTTAAATGCGTCAAAATAATATACCTGTCTTCCACTAAAATTATGCATTTGCATTAAGAGTTCAATTTCCTATGATGAACTCCTTTATCTAGTTATTATGCAATTTTGTCACTCACAATAGAACCCGATGAATGATGATAAAATGTTGTAGAACCCTTAGGGTGATGATAAACAACATCAGTGTGAATGCTGGAGCTGCAATAGGCTTTGCCTAACATCTTTCCTCTGAGCAAAAGCAACATACAGTGGTTTTCCGTGAAACATGCGTCCTGTGGCATATAACATCAATTTAAATAATCAATAAGTAACATTTATGTAGAAAAACAAAAACCTTCCAGTGAATTGTTTCTACCAATCATCATAAGGCAAAGCGAACAACTCCATATTGATAATTACTAAATGCTCTATTTTCTACATTATCTACTTCATGCTTTGAACTTTACAGCATTTTAAGGAAGTAATTAAAAAATGCATCCTCCAATATTAAATCTACCTAAAGCAATGTAATTTACATGCACAGACCTGCCACCATCAAGGCACCCCACTGGAAGCATGTTAAAAGCTTGGATGGTTTAACCATGCCTGCATAATTGAAAGCGACAACAGAGTTTCTTTCAGCCACGGAACACAAAATAAAAAGCAATCAATATTTTATTTGTTTATGTTTCTAAATTGCATATCTGCCTAAGGATATTACAAACAATATAACTTCCTATTCCACATAGAGTAAATCATATCATGTATTTGGTGTTTAACCATTACTGATAATTTGGCACAAATCATATAACTTCAATTCAAACTCAAACCTAATCAACTCTATTCAAGACTATGTTTGCGAAACACTCATCCATAATAACAATTCACTCATTATCTTCAAAAAAATAGAAACTAACCGTGCAGCGCATCACCCTAATCAGCATGATCAAGTGTACAAGACAAAATATCAGGTTGTGATGATAACTTTGAAGCTCTAAAATGCATGTAAGTCATGTTTATAGACAAGTAATTAGAAATTGAGTATGATACTAATATAACTTCAATATTAGATTTTGAAATAAAGTTGAAGTCGAATCGTGCAGGTAATACTTGAGTTTGATCTTGTTAGGAGATTTGGGGGCAAAAATGGTTCCAATGCCAAGATTTAGTATATGACCAGATATGATATTTCTATCATGAATATTATTTAACTCTATCAAATCTTCCTTTTCACTTGTGTGGTACGGTATGCCAAGCTCTACAAGTACTTCATAATCATCTTCACTGTGTCAAAATATCTACTAATCAAACAAATTGCAGACATCAGATCTGCTTGTTGAGTCCAATCATTTATTCTGTCCTTCGGGAGACTGCACCCTCGGACAATTGGACTCTAACTGAGATTGACAGCAGGAGACTGTCCACAACATATGCGATTGCCAAAGTCAGGCTAGTGAACTGAAGAATGGAAAAAACATCCAAGTTGAACTTTGGTAACGGAACTGCATAAGCCTTCTATGACCACTAAGATTGAAAATAAGGCAAGTGGGCTAGCATCTAGAATGGGAAAAATACTAACTATTAACAAGATTGATTAGTATTGTAAGAAAATTTGTGAATTTGTATTCTCTGAAATTAGAGCAACGCAACTACATTAGGTAATGCAATGGTACTAAATAACTCAGAGACTAAAATTGTGCACCTGTAATTTGATAAGGAAGCTGCTTGCGATTCTCTTTGTTGATTTGCACAAACTGACTCTTTAGTTCTTCGTCACTAACACTATCATCAATGTTCTTCACATAAATGTTTGATCCCTGAAAGTTAAAATGGTGGCAAACTAAGAAAGCTGAAATTAATTAGTCAACTATAGGAAAAAGGGTATGGAATTACCTTGTATTTCAAGTTTTTCTCCATGCATCTTTCTGCAAACCACTGATGCAAGATCTTCTCACGTTCAACCTTTTTTTGTGCTCTTGCAACATACAGGTTCTTTGAACCTAGTTATGACAAATCAAAACCAGATATACACAGAGAATCAACATCCAGAAAAGTGCAACTTTGAGCATAAAAGACCTATGTACTAAAAAGATAAGTAAATTACCAAATTGTGATCCATTCATTGCTTCTGTTGCTTGTCTTGCATCATCCGGGTTTTCATAGTTCATAAATCCAAAACCTTTTGACAACCCCTTCTCATCCTTTACAATAGCCAAGCTAAGAATTTTTCCAAAAGATGAGAACTTTTCTTTAAGAAGTGCTTCGGTAATATCTGGGTCCAAATTCTTAACGTACAAGTTTGTATATTTGGCATCAGGTTCAGGCAAAGAGCGCTCACTTTTTCTGATAAATTTCCCAACATATCTGTGAGAAGAAATGGAATCAGATTATCAAAACCAATCTTAAGATAACTAAAATAGCAATTAACAAATTCAAAAGAGAAAACATACATATGGAACTGAAGGAAAATTTTAACAAATTCTAAAACAATTTCACATACATCTTCTTATCTCTCACAGTAGAGCCATTCATTTTCTGGATAGCATCATTTGCAGACTCCTCTGAACCAAACTGTATATAACCAAACCCTTTGCTCTTCCCATCTTCAGAGATGACAATTTTGCTAGACAAAATATTCCCATATTCTTGAAATAAATCATGCAGTCCCACATTATCTATCGATTTCGCTAAGTTCTATAATAACATTAACACCGCAAAGTTTCCATTAGAATTCACATCAAACATAAAAAGAAAACAGAATATCACCATTTAAGCATTTCACAATTCACATCAAACCTATAAACCCTATAACATACCTTAACAAACACATTCCCTTTGCCACACTCATCCAAAGCCTCCTTGAGAGCACTTTCAGCCATATCCCACGTTTCATCATCTCCAAGCTTATTCTCTGGCCTCTACTCAAGTATTTAACACAGGCAAGGCAAATTAAATAACTGAGTCATTAAATAGATTAAACCAATTACTAACAGCAGAGTCTACCAAGCTTATCATGTACTACTATATCATGTATCAGAAGAAAAGAAAATAACAAGAAAGCTAGTTCTTTGTATTGAGGCCATATTCCCAATTATTAACTGTTCCTACTAATGTTATTTATTCACAAACTTCATCATATTTCAAACCATAGAGAAGTGTTCCTACTAATGTTATTTATTAAACATATAAACAAAACATGTACCATAGGAAGAGAAAGACTGGTAAGATACGATCAAAATGATCTATATCAGATGACGCTCTTAGAAGGAATAATTGCAACAAAGAAACAAATAATGAAATTATCAAATCAGAATTAACTTACATTGCAGACAAAACATATAGCGGCAGTTGTTTCCAAACTATTAAACAGATTTATCAGCATCTCTTTTGGAAGCCTTTTTGCCATTTCAACAGAATCTTTTCCAACAGGATCAGAATTGTATTCTTTAACAAGAAGTGGGTGATCACAAGCCTGACGGAGACGTAAAAGCATCAAAAGAATATTTGCATAGTTTTGATTCACTGTACGGTAGCAGCATATGCCTGCAAATTACAAGCATTACTTTTCAAAATTACAAACATCGGAGACAGAAGGAGGAGCTCGAAGAGAATCGGTGAGGGAGTTAGGGTCATTGACGACGCCGAAGGAATTGTAGTTTTGTGTGACGCTGCCTTTTTCATCCCATTGTAGTCTTGATGTCATCTGCAAATGAGTTAAGTGCAGGCTTCAGCGTGACTTTGTAATCAATACCCATGATCTCAGCAGGCGTGGTTCCCTTGGGATTCAACACATATTGAATGTCATTACCAATCTTCAACCTAGAAGCACATGAAAGTAAGAGTTTGCTTAATAATTGATCCCTATTAACATCAGCACAGAAGTTATCTAGTTTAGATGTAAATAGTCGATACAATTATGCTAAAAAAACAAATGGGGTGCAATAGAATACAATACAAGAGGAAAAGAAAAGAACCTCTTAAAGGCTTGGTTACAATCCCTGGTGATAGGTTCTAAGTCTCTGATGTTATTTGCGAGAGTACGATCAAGCTCCCAACACTTTTCCTCCCAATCATTCCTAGCAAGTTCAGCCTCTCCAGCATCCCTCTCAGCAGCCTGCAACTCTCTTTTCATCCTCTCAACGTCCCTGGTATTGAAAGGCTGTGACTCCACCTTCTTCTTTAGCATTTTATTCTCTTGACATATGTTGTCGCTCTCCACGACCTTAGCCTGCAACTGTTTCTCCTTATCCACCAAATCCCTCTCTTTCAACTCAATCCGCAACCCAAACTCGTCAATAATCTTGTGAAACTTAATGACATCGCCTTGAAGCATTTCCTTCTCTTTGTCGAGTAAATCCTTCTGAGAAGGAGCAGACCTCAATCCCTCCAATTGAGCCTCCAATTCAGAGACCTTTTGTTCAGCGGCAGCAAGGGTGTTGTCAGCGTTAGACTTCTCACGGAGAATCCTGGTGCGGATTTCGTGGTCGAGTTCGGAGATGGCTTCATCGTCACCTCTAATGAAATTTAGATAAGCGTTGAGAGAATACTGGAAGACGATGTTGTTGCTTTGGAGGGTGGTGGTGTGGGAGGGAGAAGAAAAAGAGAGATGAATTTGACAAGACTGAACAAGCCAATGAATGAGGGCGAGAATGGAAGGCCATTGATGAGGTGCAGCGGGGGATTTGAGAACAGATTTATTGAGTTTATTGCAAAATTTCTGTCACAAATTTATTGATATACTTCTTCCTAATATCCTCTTTAACAAGCTCTTGATATTCACTGAAATTCCCTCTCATATCTAACAGAACACTGCACAATCCTTGACGATTACAATAATCCAAGATCACATCAAGATTTATTTGATCCACAGATACAGTTTTAATTCCTTGTTGAGTCTCCTCGGGAGCTGTTGTTATACAATCTGTAAAGATTATCATTTTATCAGTAACGTTATCGGTTATAAATGGAATTTGATTTGAAGAACCAGAACCAGAATCTCTATGCATTATAAACCGAATGGGTTGATTGGCTCCAGGTTCTTGAGATGAAGGTACGGAGTCGACCGATAAAGTTTCACGGAATAAAGAAGAGGATAATATAACTGCATCATATTCTTGTAATAGCCTAGAATAGTATCCACCAGAGTGAGTTACTCCATTCCCAAGTGAGTCCAACAAGTTTCCGTTGACAGAAAGAGAATACCTGTAATGCAGAAATAGCTCCAAATGAATGTTTAGAGAAAAGCAAGTTGGAGTATATGTGTAAAAATAGAGATGAAAATGAATTACCTCAAAGTAAGCAGAGGCTTCTGGGTCAACATGTGATGAATATAACCCTCATTGAGGCCCTTACACAGTTCTTCCTCAACACCAACAACAACTTCAATTCCAGCACCTCTCAATCTATCTAACCCTTTGGAAGCCACGATAGGATTTGGATCCACCATCCCAACAACAACCTTTTTAAGTCTAGCTTTAATGAGAACTTCAGTGCAAGGCGGAGTCCTCCCAAAATGATTACAAGGTTCTAAAGTGACATACGCCGTTGCATTCTCGTCCAAATCAGCAGCATCTCTCAGAGCAAACACCTGAAAAATCTCAGAAATAGAAATGCAGTGACACGAAAATGATGATTTGAATTCAATGAGTGTGAAACAAGTCTCACCTCAGCATGAGGTTGACCAGGTTTAGGATGAAAACCTTGGCCAACAATTTGACCATCTTTGACAATAACACATCCAACTAAAGGATTGGGGCTTGTACACCCCAAAGCCTTTCTGGCGAGCTCAACGCTTTTCCTCATGTAAAATCCATCGACATCACCATCATCGTCACGATTCTTTTGGGAACGAATGACATAGCTACTCTTCCCACGAGTTAGTCTGTCCCTGAATGTAAGTGATTTGGAAAAGCCATGATTCAAATTGAGGGGAATGGGTGGATGAGGAGAGGCATTGATGCATAATCTGGAATGGTAAAATGGAACTGAAACTGCTACTGATAACCCCATTGCTTGCATGGTTGGAATGATGTGAAATGTGATTTGGTTTGGCACTCCGATTCACAAACAAACCTCTGTGAAAGAGTGATGGAAAGGGCAGAGATTTAAGAGGAGCAGAACAGCGTCAGCAACGTGATCCGCGCCAATTTGTTTTTTCCTTTTCACGCACAGTATTCCATTGACAAGACTGAACAGATTTATTGAGCCCGACGCGGAAGATTATGGTTTGGTGAATGTGTCTAGCGGAAGGAGAGGAAAAAGGTTTGAAAGAGACATTCAAATCCTGAGAGGCCAGGAATGAATTGATGGTTGCGGTTGCGTTCTGTTGGTACGAACGGTCTTTGTAAACGTCGAGAGAATGGATTCCGACGGAGGATGGACGGCTACTGGCTAAACTCACGTCAGAGTCATGGTGGCTGTTTAGTGGAGTTGGTGGTAAGTAGGCCGACTCTTTCGGTTGCCGACGAACGTTGCTGCTTCCGCCGGGAGGTCTCATCTTCTTCCGACGAACGAAGGGATTGTAATAGTTTGGGAGGAATGGTGAAAGCGGGTTTCAAAACTTTAGGGTTCTTCTTTGGAAGACCCATACGAACCTTAGGTCGAGAATTCTTGTATTTTCTTCGTGAGTAGAAAAAGTGAACGCAGGAGTAGAAAGTGAAGAGCTTTTTAACTTTTTTACGGCGACGGGTGTTTTACCGTCGTGCCCATGAGAATTTTTAAAGGTTTTGGGTGCGACGGTTGTTTTACCGTTGTGAAATGAATTTTAGGACGAATAATTTTACCGTCGTGAAAGGTTTAAGGGTGCGACGGGTGCTTTACCGTCGTGATATGCCTTTTAGGACGGTTAATTTTACCGTCGTGACTAGTTGTTGGTGAAAAATCAATGTTAAAAGTGTTAAATGGGGGCCGACGATTGTTTTACCGTCGTAATAATAATATTATGATGGTTAATTATACCATCGCAAAATAAATATTAGGGACGGTTGGTGTCAACTGTCGTAAACACTGTCTCTATATGTCAATTACGACAGTTATCACATAACTGTCGCAATTTTTGTGTCGTTAAACACTAATTTTCTTGTAGTGATTCGGGAATTCCCCACAACGATTAATGTTGGTGATACTCTCCAAGGACCGGGAACACCAATGAATATCTGAATGTGTAAGGGACATCAGCCTATGAGACCATCTCATACCCTTCTCATATCTCAAAATAGACCGGGGTAGGTGCGAAATAAACTACCTAGCCAATAGAGGAGTGCAACACAGAAGGGTCCCTCTTCTCTTTAGAGTGCGAGTATGCAGAGAGTGTAGAATATCCCCAAGTAAGGTAGGCACTGGATTATGTGACCGAAAAACCTTAACCGCATTCACATCTATGAGTTGGTCCGTGTTAGGGAATAGTAACATCCCATAGATGAGAAGGGCCAACACCTACTCAAAAGCTTGTAAATCCAGGTTATCCCAAAAATAGTGAGCTTTCTCAAATAGAAATATAGTTGGAAATCCTTGGACACTTCTTCTAGTTTCCCAATTTGCCACTATATCAGATCGTTGTAAAGATAGAGCTTGAGAAATCTCTTCAGGCTTTGGGTGTATTTCCATACCATTGAATGGTAGCTGATTAAGAATAGGTACCCCCAATAATTGAGAAAACTCCTCCATAGTAGGCACTAACTAGTAATCCGAAAAAGTGAAGCAGTGATGTAACAGGTCAAAGAACTGAAAAAACACCTTTAACATTTCTTCATCAGGGTTTAAAGTGACCAAGCTGAGAAGTCGACCATGTTTTTCAGTGAAGGGAGAAATTCCAGGAATCCTTGATGCTAAGTCCTTGAGTTGAGGAGGTACTTTCACAAGCTTGATCTGGATAGTGTTCTTGCGAGCAGATGTCATGTCCTACAAAACAAGACAAAAATAAGCCCTAGAAAATCCTTGAAATGGTTAGTATGATATGCCATGTTATGATGTCATGATTATGCTAAGAAATCACATATATAGCAAGCACAAGTACATCCCACAAAGACCTTAGGTTTAAGGCATGCATGGGTTTTAAGGTCATACCCTATTGAAGTTGGATTGGTTCAACCTGTCCTATAAATAGTAATCGGGTTCTAAGGGATCTCAATATCACTGATCTTTCCTACAAGTTTCATTCGATAGGAAATTGACTTGCAACCAAACAAAACTCATGAGTCAAATCTCAATGAGTGTAGCATCGAGTATCTGTCGACTTTGGGAATACACCAAAGACGGCCATCTAACTACGTCCTAATAGCCAAGTTGTTCAATTAAAGGTTATAAGGTCAGTTGACGCTTCATGACACCACGCGGCAGCCCCGTATTCTCCTTGATTAACTCAAGGGCTACCGGTACCAACCAAAGTTCCGCATCAACGTAGCCATTGCTTCAACCGTGTCGATATACTCTTCACAATTTCCATGATGTATTGCTACTTACCTAAAAGGTTTCCCTAGATCCGGGTGTAGGATCTGTAGTAACAACCCAAATAAACCCTCCAAGGATAAAGCATACAAAGCAAGCAATTAAAACAGTTTTAAAATGAACTAACTCTAAGGTAACCCCACTTTTTATTTATCCCCAACAGAGTCGCCAGTTCTGCGATACGGTGGCAGAACCGACTGTTATACTGGTTTTGCGTTTGTGTTCACAAATATTGCGGTAAGCAAGACTCGCCATCGACTTTTCTTTTATCCAACAAAGGAAAGAATGAAAAGAACAGAAAAAGACCTTTCATGAGTTTTCTGAGTAAGGGGGGTAGATTATGGAAAGGGAAGGTGTTAGCACCCTTTCCATCCGTAGTTTTCTACGGGCTCTTAGATGCTTATCTCATGTTTTAAAAATTTCTTGTGCTTTGTGTGTTTTGAAAAATCATTTAGAAAATGCCTTAGTGCGGAGATTCGCTTTATGATAATTCTTGTATCAGTCCTCAAGAGTGTTAACAAAGCGAATGTTTTTGAAAGTGTTTTGAAATGTTTTGTGTAAGTGTGAAAGTTTTGTTTTTGAGCAAGCATCTATGAACTATCTACTTATACTCGAAAGGTTTGTTCTTTTCCCCCTATCCTTTAGACAACGCTATCCTACTATTAGTGAGTAGGTAACCCTATCATTGGATGTTTGAGGGACAATCGAAGGGACGTACAGTCATAAAGGCAACATGTGGAGACGCTTTAGCAATTTTGTCTAGGAACTAGATCATTTACCGAAAGGCAACATTGTAGGGTCATCGAGGGACTATGATCTTTGATTTACGTGTCTTTGCTAAAGTATCCCCGTTTCGAGGGACATGACTATTTTTTCTAAAAGGCAACCAAAGTGGGCGTACCTAGAGGTATATGTGTGTAATGTGTGCTTGTTTCAGTTATTTTTCATTGAATTTAAGTTTGCTAGCGCTTTGTTTTCAGTCTTTCCATACAATCCTATTTACTAACAGTAAGATTGTATAGAAAATATAAAGTGCGGAAAGTAAATCCTATGCTATTACATCCCATGAGCAGTTACAATATTTAGAAAAAAATGCGAAAAGAAAAACTAACTATTACAAAATCAAATGTGCGACCTATACATTCTTTCTAGAATTTAAATAACAAAATAAAAATAGAAAGAAAAAGAAGAGATTGTTTAGAAAGAAAATCAAATGTCCTAAAAAGCCTAAGTATTAAGAAAAATATTTTTGGTATTTTTTTGATTTTAATATTTAAGACCTAAGTCTAAATTAATTACAAATTAACTATGAAATAAATACTAAAACATGATTAAGTTAAATTAAATTTATTTATGAAAATTAAATTACTTAAAAGAAAAGAACTTAATATTTTTTTGTGATTTTAAGATTTTATGTTTATTTGATAAAAAATAATTAATTGAAATGAAAATAAAATAAATAATTAAAGCAACAAAATAAAATAAAAGAATGGGCCATGTTGTAAAGAAAATGGGGAGATGCGCTAAGCAAAATCCCAGGCCCATTAGCAAGAGATCCCGGGAGCTAGAGAGAAGTCTTTAGAATCATGTGTATCTCTCCCATGAGGCCTATCGTGGGTTTGGATTGAAAGTCCTCGTATCATAGAATCCGAAGCTCAAAAAGCTTATAGCCCTAACCATGGCATCTTGCGCATAGGGTGTTCATATTCACATACGATCGTCCTAGCCTGTTCTAAATGGTCTCACAAACACATATCAATGCACAAAAATAATTTATATGACATGAATAGACAGTTTGAGTTTCAAGAAATTTTACCAAAACCAGTACAATTGGATATGAGAGTTCTAGACGTGGAAGGGTTTGGTTACGAGCCTTGTTCAACTCTTGGGAGCCTCGGGGAGATGAACGGATCCTTTGTTTTGCTTGAGAGCCCCTGGAAGTGTGGTTAATAATTTTGCAACTTTGAGAAATTTCTGAGAATTTTATAGAGCTTTGTTATGCAATGGTTTTTGTGGTCATTCTTCTGCCTTTGTTTGCCTTTATATAGAGAATGAAATAGGAGCCAACAAGTATGAAAAGGGACAAGGTAATCATTACCATAAAATCAATATTCCAACATATTGAAAACTTGCCTTCTTTGCATGATTCTTGTCTTTTGGATGCCTTGCATGAATCTGGACATGTTGCTGGCTTGTATTTGGGCTGACAAATAAGGAATGGAATCAAGGTAATCATGCCATGGTTTAAACAAGAAAACACGTTTTAAACTTGCCAAATTTGCAATGTTTCTTCCTTTCTTGATTCCCCACGAAATTTACAAGGTTGTAATGAGTTTTCATGAGTTGTCTTGGGCCTTTAGATGATTGAAACAATAAGCCCAAGCCTTTATACCATTGTTTCATATTTTATTTGATTTTATTTGAATTTAAATGAATAAAAATTCAAATAAAAGAAATAAAAATCATAAAAAATATGTGAATAGATTTATAGGTCATCTAACACCTTATGAACATGTTTGTACATTAAAAGTTAGGCCTACTAGTTCAAAACTTCAAGTTCGCTCACTTTGCAT